CATGATCCTCCTGATCTCCACCTCCAGAGTAGCTGGAGCCCACAGTTAGCTTTGATAGTAAAAGAGGGCCCCGGTATTCAGTCACCAGTGTATATTTTCATAACCACTATCACACTTTCAGATATAGGAACAAAATTTTATGTCATTTTACTGAGACAAGTTTAGTATTATTGGTAGATCTACAATTGATTATGTTACATGTGGTATATATTTATTATTCACTACAGAATATAAAATAATAAATGCAAAAAGTACCATGAGTACTTTTCATATTTTGATGAATTAAACAAAAAGTTGATAAAAATCAAGGAATTCAATTTCAAGCATTTGATAATAATAAAACATCACTGATTTATGCTTCCAAACAAGGGTACAGGCTGTTGGTTGAATTGCAATACTGAGAAGTGTTGTATTATAAATTTCTCATAAACTGAATCAAAGTATCAAAGTGACAATACCAATCTGTCAAGAATACAGATAGTGAAAAGCAAAAATTAAAAAGAGAAATATTTAATGTACTTTTATTCTGAGGATAAAATACAAAACTGCAGAAATCCCAGTACTTGGGCCACTGAGGCAAGAGATCTCAAATTCAGGGCCAGCCTGGGCTGGATATCAAGACCCTGTCTAAAAAGGAAAAAAAAAAAAAATCCAGACAACAGTGGCTCATGCCGGTAATCCTAACTACTTGGGAGGTAGAGATCAGGAGCCAACCTCAGGCAAATAGTTCAGAAGACCTATCTCTAAAAAACCCATCACAAAAAAGGGCTGGTGGAGCGACTCAAAGTGTAGGCCCTGAGTTCAAACCCCAGCACTAAAAAAAAAAAAAAAAAAAACTCCAAAATAAAAAGAAGCTCAATCAATGATATACAATTGACCTCCCCTTGCCAAAAAATCATAAGCTACTAAACCCCCATACTGCAAAATGTGACTGTATTTGGAGTTGGAAGTTTAAAGATGTAATTTAGTTAAGAGGTGGTCATTAGGCTGGGTCCTCATCCAAGTTGACTGGCATCCTTATGAAGAGAGACACGGACAGTGCTAAAAATATATGCTGCCCTCCTATTGCTGGTAGAACAAAATCCAGACTCCCTGGTCCAGCATTCAACATCCTCTGCAATATGGGTCCAAGAGCCCACAAAGATGGTCACCTACAGCTCCCTGGTGCTCCAGTCTAGCTGTCACCATATACTTCTGTTAGGCTTGGTGAGCTCTGAGACATGTCCTTCCTGGACCTGCCTGTCACTCTCCCTCCTCCAAGAATGTTCTCAGGCTCTCCTCTACCACCACACCTCATCCAGAAATCCAAGCCCAGCCCATAACCTACCTGTAACCCTTATTCTCTGTGCCATTCAGTTTCAACATAATTTAAACTTAAGCACTTCTCTATGTTCTTATACTGCCATCAAAGTTTACATAGGTACGCACACATTCGTTTATTCAACACACATTTGGGGGACCTCTCTGTGTATCAGAATGTATTAGACACTGGGGATGCAATGTCAAATAACATATGGTCTCAGCCATCCAAGTGGTTATACAATATTGTTAGGAAGAAGAAAATGCCAACTTTTCATTATTTAATAAGCCTCATTAAGCATCAACTATGAGTCAGAAAGTAGGCTGAACACGAGGAATGAGAAAGATTCCTCATGGGAAAGAGGAGAACAGTAGATCTCTAAGACACACTCTGATGTATTGATGAACATCACATGTCATAAGACATGGTATGGCCTCAGCAGCAGAAGGAAAGGTGAAGAGGACAAGAAAGAGAGGCTCAGAGCAAGCAGTGCTCAACTACCTCTGGAACCCATCACTAAACATGTCTCAGAACATTGAGGACAGAGCCAGGAAAGGCAGAGATCATCTGTTCCCATACTGCTGTAGAAAAGGAGCTTCAGGTGCAGTTACCGTGGCTGGGGCTGGCTCAGGAGCAACTCCCTGCAGAGCACAGCAGTAGTGTTTCTCAGCATCTGCAGAGAGGTTGAAGACCTCAGGGTAGATGCCAAAGACCACAGACCATATATCTTCAGCCAGCTCTCAGAGACTATTAATTCCAACATTTTTCCTTTTTCAGAAATAAATTTTATCATATATGGAAAGGTGTAAAACACCAAGACTTTTTCATTAGTAGCAATTTGTCCATGAAACAGTGGACTAAAAACAAAATATGCCAGTGGTGGTGCCTCATGCCTGTCATCCCAGCTACTTAGGAGGCCATGAGTAAGAGGATCACTGGGCAGGACTCGAGGAGTAGAGCAGCTGCCTAGCAAACACAAAGCCCTGAGCTCAAACCCTAGCATTACCAAAAAAAAAAAAAAAGAAAACCATTTACTATGTGAGCAGTGGGTAGCATTGACCTGGCTACCAACAGGCTAAAATTTTGTGCACATCCACTATCAATAATGACTCAAAGTCACTATGTCCATGGTCCCAAGAGATGTGTCATGAACAAGTATATAATATTTGTATATATTCAGTTGGTCCTCCATATCCATAGGTTCCACATCAATGGATTCAATCAACTTCAGATAAAAAATTTTAATTGCATTTGTACTGAACATGTAAAAACCCATTTACCTTTTATTATTCCCTAATATAACAATTACCAAAATAGCATTTTCATTGTGTCAAGTATTATAAATAATCCAATGATGATTTAAAGTATATGGGAGGATATGCATAAATTATATGCAAATACTATGCAATTTGTACATGGGCTTGAGCATCTTTGGATTTTAGTGTCCTAAAGTGCCCTGGAACCAATGCTTTGCACGGATATGGATGGATGACAATCTGTATATTAGAACCTAAACATATTATTAGTCTGCATGTAACAAAATCCAAGCTCCTTGCTGAATCTCCTTGCTGCCAAGTACAACCAAGGCTCTGCACTTCTTCATATGTATATTTGACAAAAGAATTTGCTTCTTGCAGCTCATTCTTCAAAGCAGAAAAACCTCTTGTTTTATTGTAATCATTGGCCCAAACCCATGTAGACATGCCATTCCTCAGAGGCAAGAAGAGAGTGATGACAAGACTCTAGAGTGCTTGAGACAATGATGAACCAAAATTTGATGTTAGGTACGGAAGGAACATATGAGGGGAAATATGCCTTCTATTTGCTTGCAATGTTGTGTTCTTTTTAATAATTTTTTTGAGATAAGGTCTTGCTATGTAGCCAGGCTGGCCTCAGACTTAAGATCCTCCTCCTTCAGACTCTCAAGTGCTGGGATTACAGGCATGAACCACCACACCTGACTTTTAATAATTCTTATTGTTTGAAAAATGTAAGTTGACCAAGAGTTACATACTAATTTATAACTGTCTTAAGCAGAGGGAGAGAGAAAAAGAGAGAGAGAGAGAGAGAGAGAGAGATCACTCTTCCTTTGTAAAGGCATAAATCCTAACCTGGTGATTACAGCTTCAGAACCATATCTAATCCCAACTACCTCCCAAAGGCTCCATATCCTAATACTATCACATTGAGGATCGGGGCTTTAACATAGGATATTGGGAAGACACATTCAGTCTATAGCATATAGAAAGCAGAAGTCTTTACTTCCATTTTCTGAGTCAGAAGCAGAAAATATTTCTCCCATTTCTCCCATTACATTAAATTTCCTTTCCTAATAAACTTTATTATCACTTTCACTACAAAAAAAAAATACAGAAAGAAGCTATCTGCAAGCCAGGAAGAGAAACACTACAGACTGAGCATGCTGAATCCCTGATCGCAAACTTCCAGTCTCCAGAAGTACAAGAAAATAAATTTCTGTTGGTTAAGCCACCCAGTCCATGGTATTTTGTAAAGTCAGCCTGAGCAAACTAACTATATACGCTACATAAACAAGGCTTAATCACACTACCAGAACGAAGTATGGATGAACATCATTTACACCTGAGAGAGACTAAGCCCCTAGACACGTGTACCTCATTCACAAGCAAGCGTGTTCACTCCGTCTCTTCCTCATTCTGTTGGATACACCTTTAATGAGTGTTCCAAATTTTCCAATCAAGTCAACACAGACACAGATAATGTCAAAGTGCAGTAACGCAGGTGCTTCTGAAGCTGGCTTGTGAGCCTGGAAGAGGAGGCCAATACTACAGGAAGAGGAAGAGAGGTCACAGGACCCCATTAAAGAACTGACGACCTGCACATACCCTGAGCACTACAGGCAAATCAGTGAATAGACAAAGGGTATTCCTAGCACAGAAAAAAAAGGATTCTTAAATGCTGCATGAGCACCCTTCCTTCTTCTACACTTGAGCCACTCACAAATGTGGTCGATTTTAAGATGAAATAGTTTACATCATGGCAAGTAATCCATGGCATGTTTCTGACAATGAGGGCTGATCTCAGGCCATCCATTCTGTACCACTTCAGCCACAGAGGGGCCTGGGGCCCATGTTTCATCACACTCCAGGAAGCACCAATTTTTTTCAGAGATGCACAAAGACCTGGAGAGAATCAGAAGGGTGCAATGAGCAGGCAGGGACTGCCGCACAGGTGACCTGGATGGTATTCTCAACACATCCAGTGGTAATTTTCTTAGTTCATTCACACTTATAACAAAGTACAATGGATTGAGTGGTTAGAAACAACAGAAATCTATTTTCTAACAGTTGTGAAGCTGAAAGTCCAAGCTTAGGGTGCTAGCATATCACTTGAATCATTTCTTTTCTTTTGGATTTAGGATCAGATTTGAATTAGGAATCCACGTCCAACCTGCAGAGGGCAGTCGTAGCATACCTACACATTCTCACAGGGAAGCTCTACCTGGAATAGAAGGCTATGATCTGTAGATAAGCTCTGATCACAAGACAGGTAATCCTTTTGCTTTAATTAATGTAACTTTTCAGGGAGAGCCCCAGCAGACTCAGAGATGGCCCACCATTAGCAAAAGAAGAGAAGCAAGAGTTATCTTCTACTGGTGTTGGTAAAACCAGGTGACAAGACTCACTTGGGGCTTCTGTTGTAAAAAAAAAAAAAAAAAAAAATGCCCAGCCTGTCCCAAGACAACCAAGTGTGCCTCCAGCAACAGCTCTCCAGACCTTCCACATGGACACGATTTTTGCCTCTGCTCAGGCCAGAAAGATACGACACAAATATTTACCAAGCCACAGGAAGCAAAGGGGACTCCCAAGCAGTGCCTGATGTCAAGGTAAGATGATCTCCACATCCTTTCTGAACAAGAAAATTGTTTATCCAAAAAGAGTATAAAGCCACAAGTCAGCTTTAGTGTCGTTGCTCACTGTGTCTTATTGAAAATTTATCAAGCATGTTTTTGACCCAACCTGAAGGGAAAACTAGAACCTTGATGACAATTACCTGATGTCTAGTTTTCTCCAACCTAAACATTTACCATTGTTTTTTTGTTGAGGTTTTCACTTTTGTTTTGTTTTGGGGGTCTTTCGTTTGTTTCATTTCAGTGGTAGGGATTGAACCCAGGACTAAGGATGTACTCTACCACCAAATTATACCCCCAACCCTGTTTTTTTTGTTGTTGTTGTTTTAGGAGATAATGTTTAAAAAAGCAAAAATGCAAGGCATACATTTTGTGGCTATTGATACATTTTTCTCTTATATAAATGTTATATTACATATAATAAGAAAAGAAATATGATAGGCTGCTTTCTACAAAAATTGCTAAAGGAAAAAACTGATAAGCTAATATAGGAGCATATAAACATTAAAGACCTAAGGGGTGCTATTTCTAAATGCAGTTTCCTAAGGTGAATTTCCTAAGTATTTATTACTTTCTACCACTAGGTAATTTCATTTTCCCAGAGAGTGACAATTTTCCTGTTCAGTGCTGCATGTTATCTTTGCAAAAAGTACAGTGTAAGTCTATAAATCTTCTTAACTATTAATAGAAGCATCTCTTAGAAGGTTATTTGGTGTGGAGCGGAATGGACATATATGCACGTCTGACAAATCATGGTCAGAGCTCAGAATTAAATGTTGCAAAATCATACCACAGCAAACCTGGCCAAATACCTTAAAATTGGCAGACTCATCTGTCCCTGCACAATGGCTTATGTCCTGATAGTAATCTATTTGTAGACTGTCCACTTAATTCTTTAGGTCTTTCCCCTGGGGTTATATTAACCAATTGACACAGCAGAAGAAAAGAAAAAGAAATTCATTATGAAACCTTTTCTGTAGAAATTATCTGACCTTTGCATTTGAGCTTTCACACATACATGGACAAATAATATGTAAATTACCACACACTCCTATTATTACCTAAACACTAGAGGGTTTTGTTGTTTGGCTTATTTTGGTTCTTTGAAAAAGAATTTCTCTGTGTAACCCAGGCTGGCCTTGAACTCACGATCCTCCTTTCTCAGTCGCCCAAGCCAGCTAAGCTTTGGGTCTTTAGGAAATGAGTGAAATGGAGGTAGTGACCAGGAATCCTTCAATAATAAGCATCTAAAAATAAGCAGTACATGCAAAAGAGATTTCTTTTCTTTCTTTCTTCTTTTTTTTTTTTTCAGTAGGACTGGGTTTGAACTCAGGGCTTCATGCTTGCAAAGCAGGTGCTCTTCCACTTGAGCCACACCTCTAGTCCATTTTGCTCTGGTTATTTTGGAGATGGAGTCTTGAGAACTATTTGCCCAGGCTGGCCTCAAACCACAATCCTCCTGATCTCAGCCTCTCCAGAAGCTAGGATTACAGACATGAGCCACCAGCTGAAGAGATTTGTTAAAGCTAAAATTGGGAGGTGACTCTGAGAAAACAGACAATAACAATAACAATGTACACATACAGAGGTGTCTATCCATATTTGAGGGGCATTGGTTACAGGACACCCCATTAATAGAAAAATCAGCAGATGCTCAAGTCCCTTATATAAAATGGCATAGTATTTGTATAAACCTATGCACATCCTCCTGTATACTTTTAATCATGTACAGACTACTTTTAATACCTAATACAATGGGAATGCTATGTAAATAATTGTTATACTGCATTGCTTAGGAATACTGACAAGACTAAATCTATACATATTCAGTTCAGTCGCTATTTAAAAAAAAATTATTTCTGATCGGTGGTTGGTTAAATCTAAGAATGCAGAACCAGAGGAGGAGGAACCTGTAAATACAGAAGACCAACTGCATATATATATATAGTTGAACACATATATAGCTGTATGTAACTATATAGTATACAAGCATTTTATTTATAGCTATGTTTTATGTGGATACAAGGCTGTCATATGTTCATGTGTATATACACACATGTACACATAGTTTCAAAGTTCTAAATGTCTGAAGGATCTAAGATTTAAGTGGAATCACAGGAAAATCAATGGGAAATAATTTAAGAACCAGCAGCACCAATTCTGCACACAGTTTGTGCTGGGCAGGCCAAGTAGTCATGTTGTCCTGTAAATCCAAGTAGACAGGTTCCAGCCTGTACCTTGGCAGGTGAGAGCAGCAGGAGGAGGTCCAGTTGAGATTCTACAGTCCCCTTTATTCAGTTTTGCCTTTTTTAAAGAATCTTTTCTATTGTATCTGAATATAGAAAAAGGACATATACCCTTCTTCTAGCAAATACAAGTTTCATAACACTCAATTATTTTGATTCTACAAATATCATTGAATATTATATGAAAAACCTTGGGCCAGGTGATTCGGGAAATAAAAAGAAAGAGATGTCCCCTCCTCTTATAGACTAACAATACATATTTGGAATAGACAAATATATTGTCATATAACCAGGGTGACTCAAATCAGTAGCATAGTATATCTCCATATTCTATGTATTATAATATATAATATATATTCTTTCAATAAGTACAGCAGTAAAAATAATAGGATAGAATATAACCAATATGGGGTAAAATGACTATAAAAGGCCTAATGAAAGAATGAAGGGAATGAAATTTAAGGTGAATATGAAATAATGTCTAAGGACTCAGAGAAGTAGAAAAATGGAATATTGGCTAAAATGTGTCTCAATGCGAGGAATCAGGAATAAAACCCTGACAAAAATCCTCAGTCTCAGCTCATATCTTATAGAAAAGTTGATCCAAGATGGATCATGGCTTAAGTGTCTAATTCTATGTAAAACTATACAACATTTAGGGAATGAATGCAAAAAAAAATCTTTGTAACCTAAGGTTATACAAACAGTACTCAGACATCAAAGGCATGACCCATACATGAAAAAAATCAACATATTGGGCCTCATCAGGGTTATAAAAACTTTTGTCATACCAAAGACCCAATTAAGAGAATAAAAGACAAACTACAGATTGCAAGAAAAGTTTTAAAGCCCTTATCTGCTGAAGAATCTAGGATAGAAAAAGAATGCTCAGTATTCAAGAGTAAAAAAAAGAACATAGCCAAAAAATATGAAGAGATAGATTATTGAAGAGTATATATAGTTGATAAATAAACACAGAGGAAGACATCAATGTCATTAGCCACCAGTGGAAAGCAAATTAAAACCACACTAAGAAAAATCACTACACACCAAGCGAATGATTAAAATGGAAACACCACAAATGCCATCAGCAATGTGGAGATGCCAAATCATTCATACATTGATGGTAAGAATGCAAATCGCACAGCCAGTCTGGAAAACAACTTGCAGTCTCTTACAAAACTAATATGCATTTCTCATATAGTCCTGCAATTTCACTAGCAGGCAAATTTTCCAGAGAAATGAAAAACTACATTCACACAATCTCTATACATCAATGTCCATGGCACCTTTATTCAAAATAGCCAAAATCTAGAGACAATCCCAAAGCCCTTCATCAGATGAATGAGTAAACAAAGTGTGGTGAACCCATGCCATGGAATGCTATGAAGCAACTAAGAGGATGAATTATTGATGCAAAACAACTTGTGTAGATCTTAAGGAAATGGTGAGTGAAAAAAGCCAAGCCCAAATGATCACATACTCTATGATTCCATTTATATACCATTCCTTCTTTTTTTCTTGATGGTACTGGGGTTTGAACTCAGGGCCTCATACTTGCTAGGCAAATGCTCTACCATTTGAGCCACTCTGCCAGCCCTGCTTTGTGTTGGGGATGTTCAAGATAAGGTCTTGTGAAGTATTTGCCCAGGCTGGACTGGATCCTTCCAATTCCTGCCTCCTGAGTAGTTAGGATTACAGGCATGAGCCACCAGAACCTGGCTTATATATCATTCTTGAACTAAAATTACAGAGATGAAGAATATTAGTGATTGACAAAGATTAGGGATGAAGGGAAGATGATGGATGTAGCTACCAAGGGATAGTGCTTTAGCAAGAGTCTTGTGGTAGTGGGACAGTCCTGTATCTTGATTGTAGTGGGTTACACAAATTTATGCATGATAAAATTTCATATTACTACACACACACACACACACGCACACACTCACGCACACACACATGCATACCTGAGTTTATGTAACACTTGTGAAATGTGAATAAGCTCTGTGAATCGTACCAAAGTCAATTTCCTAGTTTTGATATTGTAGTGTAGTTATGTGGTCTCCACTGGGTGAAATTCGGTAAAGAGAGCATGGGACCAACCAGTACATTTTTTGCAACTTCCTGTGAATTTATAATTACTGCAAAATGAGTCTGGGGTGTGGTCTAAGTGGTAGAGTGCCTCATATAATTATTGCAAAATGAAAAGTTAAAAAAAATACCCAAAGGCAGGTTAGATGGATGTTACAGGCACACTATTTGCTTACATTTACTGTTGTTCTTCCGGTTGTTCCTTTCACTTGGATCCTTAACTAACTTCATTAAGCCAGTAGCATCGATGTTGTCAGACCTGTTTTAGAGGTGAGAAACCATGTTTGGAAACAGTGTTGGTTACATATGTGAAGTCACCTGAGTAGTGATGTGAATCTAGGTTTTCTGAATGTTTTTAGTTCTCATTTAATAGCTTCTGAAAGTGATATAAAAAGTAGACTAATTTCATAGGCTTAAATCCAGCCTTCTTAATGCGTTTTTCTTTTTGCCATCTACATAAAATAGTCCAACATTGACCACTAATTTACTACAAAATAAGCTAATACCTGCCCCACAGACATGCACACACTCACATTCCTGTCCAGATTGGTTTTCTTTATCAGGAGTTTTGCCTCCTTTCAGGGCAGGGAGTGCAAATGGAAGGCAAGGTATACCCTGGGCCAGCAGTCTTCCTAGGTA